GGGGCTGTAACTGGTGATGTTCCTGGGTCCTGGGCTCAGGACTGGGAGTGGTAGACCACTTGGCACACAGCTGCTGTGACACCGAGGACCTTAGAGGCCTTGCCCACTGGAACTTACCATTACTTGGGTTCTGTGGGATGAGATCAGGTAGTTATAAGTTAGAAGTTACCAATGGGGAAGCTTGTAGATTCCTCAGCAGAAACCCAAGTTAGTCTGATGAATCCTCTCTCCTAAAAAACACTGGGAACAAGATATGCCAGGACTCTTAGACAAATTTTGTAGTATTTTAAATACTATTTAAGGTAGGTCATCTTTTGGATGACCTGCCATTTGCTCTCTGGCTTGGGTTGATGCCCATAGTTATAGTGGAATCAAAGGGCCCCTGGGGGAGGCTGTCCCTCTTCCCGTGACTCATTAGCAGTGAGTACAGCTCTATCCACTCCACATCTGGAGTAGGAATTCCAGCAGGAAGACATGACATCAACGTTTAACCGGAGGACTCATGTAGGTCTGGCCATCTGGTAGGCACTATGTTTTCCCCACTGCTTCTTCGTTTCCTCCTCAGTCCTGTGCAAGCTGCCCACCTCCTGGTTACTGGGTTCTGAATTCCTCCTCGCTTCACCTGCAGATATCTACACAGTCCCACTTGTGGCTCACTCCCTACCCAGGCCCAATCCCTTACCTGAAGATGACACTAAAGAAGGGAAAACCAAGGAAGCATCTGCCCAGTTCATTCTTTCTAAAAATGTCCACATTCCTTTTGCTTCCAGACCCTGTCCTCAATCATCAAGACCTACAGCTAGATGACTCAGTAGCTTAGCAGGGGAGTGGAGATGCAGATAGCATTGGAGGTAAGGTTGTTAGGTGTGGGGGGATGGTTTTCTGCTGACAAGAGAAGAGTTGGAGTAAAGAGCAGTGGTTCTCCAATGACTCACTCATTGAAGACCTGCCTGAATCTGCTATCTTGGGCCCCTCAGGGTATCACTAAGAGAGAAACTTCATTCCATAAACTTCTTACTAAAATGATTTCAAACATAAGAAGCATAAGAAAGAAGAGTGTCATGAACCCTATATTTCATCATCCAGCATCAATAACTAAAAAACTAATTTCTCAGTCACACAGGTTGTCATAGGCTGGAGACTATGCAACATCCAGATGGTGGACATTGAGTTCCCTGTGAAGGTATTCTTGACTTGTATCAGGTCTTTCTCTTTTTGCTATGTTCTCACTTTGGTGGGGGAAGGGAAGGAGGAAGAGGGAGAATAAGAAAGAAAAACAGGGAGAGGCTAATCTCATCATGAGGGACCACCATCAAAAGCCTATGTCAACTTGTGTATCTCCCAAAGGCCCTACTTCCTAATACCATCACATTGGCAGCCAAGGGTGGACACAGCTCAATCCATAGCAGCTATGCAGATCTGTTTTAAAATCAAGACAGACCCTCATTTCATTCTCTTTTTTACTCTTTATTCATTTTTCCTGAAGTATTTGAGGGACGAGATGAACATGTCACAAAATGTACATAATGAGTATTTGGGGTAAAATGATAGGATGTGAAAAAAAAGCTCTTTTGTTCCCAATAAAATTAACATCTAATATACAGTCCATGTATAAATTTCCTTGATTCACAAAAAGCAGTTTTCACAGTTTATTGAAAGAATGTACTCATTTGTTGCACTTGGTTGTTCTCCTTTAAGGCAAAATAACTGTTCCTCTCCCAATTTTAATGCCATTTATTTGTTCAGAAACTGGGAGGAAGCAGGGTGGTTTGTCTTACAGAATGTCCCACTATTGGGTTTAGAGCAGGAGTCCACAATACCAGCACAGTGGTCCAGGACAAGTACCAGTCCTTGGTTTGTTAGGAACCAGACCGCCACAGCAGGAGGTGAAGCTGCAGGCTTCATCTGTATTATAGCTGCTCCCTGTCACTCTCTCATCACCCCCAGAAGGGACAGTCTAGCTTGTTTTCCTGGAACTGTTTTTAGTTACATAACATATGCTTACTAGAAGCAAAAATAGCATAAATATTGATGATTATTTCCTTTCTCAGTGCTCAGAATGGAGAGTTGATGCCCTAGCAATCTATCACAGTGACAAATCAGATGTTGCCTATTAACATTTGGACACATTTGGCCAGCTTAAAATTAAATATTAAAAAACTCTTATCATGGGATCCAGCCCCATCCTTCATGGCAAATAGAAGGAGAAAAGGTCAAAGCAGGATAGATTTCTTCATCTTAGCCTCTAAAACCACTGTGGATGATGACTGCAACCATGAAATGAAAGGGCGTTTGCTTCTTGGCAGGAAAGCTATGACAAACACAAACAGTTGGTTGAGAAGCAAAAATAACGTTCTGGCCAACAAACTGGTAGATATTTGGCCATTTCATTTGGATTCCTAAACTTTCTGCCCAGTCCCCACTGGTCTTTGAAGTCCCTCAGCTTTCTGGTCCTTCAGGATTCCCAAGATTATTTTGTGCATTTCTGATCCAGTCCTGAAATCAGCCACCTCTTTAACAATCCATGGATCGTCTGATGGAAAGTGTATTTATAAGCTACATGTTAGACCTCAGAATAGTCACTGTTATCAAGTTGTCATTGCTTGTAGGCTTTACATTGGTCAGAGTAGGAAGTACACATTTTCCTTAAAAAATAAAATAAAAAGGAATAATTAGTTATTACAAGCTCATGCTTTCCGTTCAAGATTTAAGACAGCAGGGTTTTAATTGAACTTCTTTATGTTATGTGTGAATATCTTTTTCTAGCCACTGAAAGGCTTACTTCAGAACATTAGTTTTAATTATTGTTTTGGTTTTACCTGTTAACATACATATGATTCTGTTCACAATAACAGGAGCAATATGAAGAACAATAAATTGTTGAATACAGTTTTCAGATTTCTTTCCTGTTTTTCTTTTGGTTTTCTTTTGTTTTGAATGGGCAGTATTTTTGTTTTTCCTTATGAGATATTCCACTCTGAATGTAGTCTTAATTCTGAATTTTAAAGCCACTTAAGTAATGTGTTGTTATGGGCATCTAATCACCAACTTGATGCAATTAGATTTATCAGTCTTTGTTCTGTATTTGTACAGTTCAGTTCAGTCACTCAGTCGTGTCCATCTGTTTGCAACGACTTGGACTGCAGCATGCAAGTCTTCCCTATCCATCACCAACTCCCAGAGCTTGCTCAAGTTCATGTACATCAACTTGGTGATGTCATCCAACCATCTCATCTTCTGTCTTCCCCTTCTCCTCCTGCTTTCAATATATCCTAACATCAAGGTCTTTTCCATTGAGTTAGTTCTTCCCATCAGGTGGGGAGATAATTGGAGATTCAGCTTCAGCATCCATCCTCCCAGGGAATATTCTGGACTGATTTCCTTTAGGATTGACTGGTTTGATCTCCTTGCAGTCCAAGGGACTCTCAAGAGTCTTCTCCAACACATAGTTCAAAGGGCATATACGTGTGTCATTTGTCAGTGACGTCATATTCCCCCTGTTGCAATTCAACCACCAAAACTGAAGTTAAACAATATGCAAAAATGAGGATTAAGTCACAGTGCCCCATCTAAACACACCTGGCAACAGGAGAGGCTTCTGCTGTATTCAAGGGATAGGTGTGGATAGATCTCATGCAGGAATAGGCCCTAGGAATCCTAGATGAGTCATTAAACATGATTGTTTTTACTTTGGCTGCCACAGCTGTTTTGTCTTCTTTGATTGGGAAGACATTTCAAAATTATTTTTTTGTATGTTTGCTTTGGCGGACAAAATTTTTCATGACATAGACCCTATGGGGAAATTTTATCAGAAGTATATCCATTTATCTTCAGCAGTTAAATTTGTTGGTTTGTATGTCCCCAATGATCTTTCTTTATAAATAGAAAGGAAACAAACACGTTCAGTATGCATTCAGTCTCTTTCTAAATCAACCAACTTGAATTAAATTCCTCTCTGTCCTCACAGCACTCCCAAGTCTAGGCCAGAAATAAAAACCTGCAGAGACTGAAGGCTGATTCCAGCACATTGTTGTGGAGATTTCATTCCCACTGTTTTTTCAGGAAAAAAAATATTAGTTGCCAACATTAAAATCAGTAGATTGTACATAAATTTCCAACCTTCTGATTCTCTTGAAAACCTGGACAACTGGCCTGCTTTCCATCATGGTTGAAGTGGAGGAAAGGCTGCTCCCAGTGATCAGGCCTGTGTTGCCCAGGATCCAGTATGGCCACCTAGTCCTACTATCATTTCGCTTGTTCCTGGGGCCATGAGTTTGTGAGAACTAGACTCCTAGCATGCGGAAGATAAAGACTACTTTTGTCTTGATCAACTTTGTCTTTGAAGCCTTTCACTCAGAACCCAACACACAATACTTTCTTGTACATTTGTTCAACGATATAAAATATCTTGTGGATGCATATGACATTTCTTCCAATACTGAAACCATGTAATTGAAGTACTGCTCTGTCCTAAATCTTTGATGCAGACTGGCATCACAGGTACCCCTGCTCTCTGCCACTAGACCCACTACATAAAGCCAGTTGAATGTCCTTGGGATTTCCCTGAAATCTTCACTTTGCCATTTGACAACTTATCCTCCTAGCAATCTTCTCTCCAACGAAGACAGCAATGCATATCTCATGAAGTGGCTAGGAAGATGATATGAAACCACAAATGTCGAGTATGGCCCTTAGTATCCATTTTTATGATGTTCTTAGCAGTCTTTTTCTCCAAGTAGGCAAGGTTCTCTATCTTCTTAAATGTCAATGCAGATCTGTTTGATTTTCCAGCCAAACTTCAAGCAGGAGATTACAGCTGAATTGTCTGTATTCTGAGAAGCTTCAAAGTCCACTCGCCAAGGGCACTGATGAAGGTACAGATTTTATCGAGACCTTTGTGTTTTTTCAGATCTATTAATGGCCTAAAGGGCTAAACTAGGGCATTTCAGAGCATATATAACTAGGGGCTCCTGGTCACCACTACATGCTAAGAACCTGAACTTCCCTGAGTACTTGGAGCCAGGAAAGAAGCATGAAGTGGCTTGTGCTCTTTGAGCTGGTGGCCTTCTCAGATTGCAGAGTCATGTAGGTATGGGGACTGTAAGCTGAATCATATTTCTTTCTGTGATTTTTCTTTTCATCTGATTATTCTTCCACCCATCAGGTTTAGAAGGGAATGGAATATTTCCCTGACAGTGTTAAAGTTCAACTCTTACTTATTGATAAGCCCCTTGCTATAGGAACTGTGGGTCCCAAGGGTTGGTGTAGATTTGCAGAGTTGCACAACTCTTGGGGTCCAGTCATGTCATGACCTATGGAAATTGGAAGTCCTTGCAATTGCTCAGTGCACAGTCAATGCAGATGTAGGTGTGGTCTTGTGGAATAGCACTTTTCTACTTTTTATTTAACATGTCCTCTTTGTTCCCTCTCTACTTCCGTGTATATATATCTATGTCTGATTCTCTGTATCACTATCATTTACCTCTCCATCTCATTGGAAGTCTCTGTGAGTGTATTTGTCTCTGTGTTGTTTTCTTTTAATTTTTCATTTGACTCATCCTTCCTTCTCAAGCATCTACATTTCCCGAACTTGTTCCTTATCTCTTGGATTCTTCTTTCAACTCTCTCTTCTTTTTCAACTTGGAGAAAGATTGGAAGAGCTACTTATACACTGTTTTATATCTTACAAGCAGTGTGACCACAGCCAGTTCGCAAACCTCTTGTATTTCACTTTCCTCCCTTGTAAAAGAGGGTAAGAATCCCCCTTCTATCTCCTTCCCTGAGCTTCTATGAGAAGGATACAGTGGGATGGCAACAGCAATGCCAATGGCTGTCATTGTTGACTTCCTATTTATTAGGTACCTTATATCACTTCACTTATCCCCAAAATATTCTACTTGGAGGGTTTGAATCATTATATTCCACCATTTTACTGAGGGGAGACTGAGACCCCACATGGTCATATGGCTTACCTAACATTACAGAACAGAACCTGTAATCAAACCTGTGTCTTTCCCATGGTATATGCATAACATTCTGATGATAAGGTGCCTTATAAAAATGATTGGAACACACATAGTGCCATTACAATGACAGATACACCTTAACACTGACAACTAATTGTAGATTCTTTGTTTTCTTTGTCAAATGTTCCGTGAAAGAAGACCTCTAATGAAAGTGAAGACCATGAGAAATACCCTCAGTTTAAAAAACGTGCTGAACAATTTCCTGAAGGAACATGCTTACAGACTGTCTCAGATTTCTTCTCGTGGCTCAAATATAACTATTCCCCTGCTGAGGAACATCATGGAAGTGAGTGTTTTGGGAGGATGGTGCTCCACATGGCTCCTGGTGCTCTAGCCTAGCACTGGGTTCATTTGGAGATGCCACGTGGGATGTGGGGGCCAGGGCTCCTGCAGGACATGGAAACCCTGGGCGTAGGGGCCCCGCCCAGAGGAGAAGGCACTCTCATCCTCAACTCCTGGTCTTGGTGACTGGGCCCAGAAATTGGCAGGTGGCAGGTAAACATCCATTTATGTGTCAAAGATGTGTCATTAGCTTGAGGGAGATTGTTCCTTCTGAGGAGAAGGCAATGGCAATCCACTACAATACTTTTGCATGGAAAATCCCAAGGGTGGAGAAGCCTGGTAGGCTGCAGTCCGTGGGGTCTCTAAGAGTCGGACATGACTGAGTGACTTCACTTTCACTTTTCACTTTCCTGAATTGGTGAAGAAAATGGCAGCCCACTCCAGTGTTCTTGCCTGGAGAATCCCAGGGAAGGGGGAACCTGGTAGACTGCTGTCTATGTGTTTGCACAGACTCGGACATGACTGAAGCAACTTAGCAGCAGCAGAAGCAGCAGCAGCAGTAGCGGTCCTTCTGAACCAAGTGAGTCACTCAGTTACAGATGAAGAGTGAACCATCTCTGATCAGAAGGTAGAACAAACTGCAAAGCAATTGTGAATCCCCAGGCAGAGGAATTCAGTTTCCACAGATGCAAGAACCACAACTGTAAAAAGTTACTGAACCCGTATTCTGTGTTAGGCCATAAGAATCTAACTCATTGGTTACTGTTTTTATTTATTTATTTATTTTCCATTTATTTTTATTAGTTGGAGGCTAATTACTTTACATCATTGCAGTGATTTTTGTCATACATTGAAATGAATTAGCCATGGATTTACATGTATTCCCCATCCCGGTCCCCCCTCCCACCTCCCTCTCCACCCGATCCCTCTGGGTCTTCCCAGTGCACCAGGCCCGAGCACTTGTCTCATGCACCCAACCTGGGCTGGTGATCTGTTTCACCCTAGATAATATACATGTTTCAATGCTGTTCTCTTGAAACATCCCACCCTCGCCTTCTCCCAGAGTCCACAAGTCTGTTCTATACATCTGAGTCTCTTTTTCTGTTTTGCATATAGGGTTATCGTTACCATCTTTCTAAATTCCATATATATGTGTTAGTATACTGTAATGGTCTTTATCTTTCTGGCTTACTTCGCTCTGTATAATGGGCTCCAGTTTCATCCATCTCATTAGAACTGATTCAAATGAATTCTTTTTAATGGCTGAGTAATATTCCATGGTGTATATGTACTACAGCTTCCTCATCCATTCGTCTGCTGATGGGCATCTGGTTGCTTCCATGTCCTGGCTATTATAAACAGGGCTGCAGTGAACATTGGGGTGCATGTGTCTCTTTCAGATCTGGTTTCCTTGGTGTGTATGCCCAGTAGTGGGATTGCTGGGTCATACAGCAGTTCTAGTCCCAGCTTTTTAAGAAATCTCCACACTGTTTTCCATAGCGGCTGTACTAGTTTGCATTCCCACCAACACTGTAAGAGGCTTCCCTTTTCTCCACACCCTTTCCAGCATTTATTGCTTGTAGACTTTTGGATAGCAGCCATCCTGACTGGCATGTAATGGTACCTCATTGTGGTTTTGATTTGCATTTCTCTGGTAATGAGTGATGTTGAGCATCTTTTCAAGTGTTTTTTTTGCCATCTGTATGTCTTCCTTGGAGAAATGGTTACTATTTTTAGATTAGAAAAAAGGCTTATTTTGTCTTCAAGAATGCCCATGCTGACCTGAGAGATAGGCAAAGAGTAAATATATGTTAAAATAAAGGGGCACCTGTGTGGTGTTGATTGAATGTTGTCTGAGTTTAGAGGGAGTGGCTAGGGTTGATCAAGAAGGACCTCCTGGAGAAGGGGGCGCTATGGCTGTGTTTGAAGAGACTACAGAGTATCTCAAATGAAGGCACCAGGACTTCCCATGTTGTCCAGTGGTTATGCCTCTGTGCTTCCAATGCAGGAGGTACCACTTCAGTGCCCTGTTATAGAGTCAGTATCCTGCATACCATGTAGTACACACAAAAAATATCAAATGCAAGCACCTCTGTGCTCAAAAGGTGTGAGCTGCACGGTGGTTAGAAAGTGATCTCAAGGGATAGGTGACACCCAGAGGAAGGCATCAGTGTGGGAATAGAGGGTAACCAGTTATGCACTAACCTACTCCCTCCTTCTCCCTGCAGATAGTATATTTGGGTAACATCACGATTGAAACACCCCCTCAGGAATTCCAGGTTATCTTTGACACAGATTCATCTGACTTGTGGGTACCCTCCCTCTTTTGCACCAGCACAGCCTATTGTGAATACAGACACCCCATACACAGACCCTCCTTCACTTGCTCTGCCAGCCTGTTTTGCACCCTTGGCCCTGATGACACTCATCTCTCATGTCTGCAGCTACACTGGTCAGGTTCAGACAAAACAAATCTTCCATCTTCTAGCCTACCGAAAAGACCTTCAGCATTGCATATGGATCTGGGAGCATGAAGGAATTTCTTGCTTATGACACCACTTGGGTAAAGTGTATCCAGAAGCTGAGCCAAGACTCCCCATGGAGTGACCACTGCTTGCAAAACAGATGCAGGACCATCTGGCAGGACAGTTCCTAGCCTAACTCCTATAGATATTGGCCATCTTACCCACAGGATCCTGTCCCTGAGGAGGCAGGAGGAGAATCTGCATTCTCTGCAGAGAAAACAAAGAGCAGGAGTCAGGAGGAAAGAAACAGGGAGTGAGGAGAACCAGGGGACACTCTTGTTCTTTTCTAAAAATTGTGTTGAAGTGTGGCTGATCTTCAGTGTCACCTCAAGTTCTGCTGCACAGCCATGTGACTCAGTTAAACACATAAAAAATATATATTCTTTTTCTTATTCTCTTTCATATGGTTTATCACTGGATATTGAGTAGAGTTCCTTATGCTCTACAGTAGTACTTTGTTTTATATCATTTCACTGTTTCCCCAACTGCCAGTTCTCCCCTCCCCCACCCCCTTCCTCATGGCAACTGCATGTACCGGCCCTTTTCGGTTGTGGATGAACTCTCATATATCACCTGCTAATGAGAAAATCCCTTGATACTTACCAAAAGAGGGAAATAAAAGCAAGAATTATGCTGGGTCTGGATATTTGTTGGAGTCGCACATAAGGGCTCAGGGTGACTGGTCTGTGTCTCTGACTCCCTCAGTATTCTAGAGGCCACTGCTATACCACATTTAAAGAGAACACAGTGAGTACATCTACAGAGACCTGGATCTTGGGTGACGTCTTTCTGAGACTGTATTTCTCAGTCTTTGATAGAGGAAATGACAGGGTTGTCCTGGCACAGGTAGTGTAAATGGTTGGAGTGGCACAGGAATCAGTATGGCTGCTTCTAACAAACACTCACTCACACTTAGGGTACTCCTGCCCAATGCTGGTGAACTGTATTTTGTGGTCTGCACACCCTATTCTCAGTAAAGAATAAAGTGCTTCACTCATAATGGTGCTGAAACAAATGGGTGCCTATGTTTGTGCCTGGGAGGGGTACAATGATCGGGAAGGATCTAGAACAAAGTCTGAATCACAGTTGAGAGGAGAGAACTCCAACTGGCTTCAAAGAATGGGGAGACTCATTGAAATGATTCTGGGAATCCAGGACACAAGAATCAGAGCAAATTTAAATATCTCAGTGACTGGACCCAAGAAATCAGAAGTAATCTATTGTCTATTTCATACCCTCATTCTTTCATTCCCTCTTCTTTGATGGTCTTAGCCTGACAACTTTCTTCCTTAAGGCTTCTACACCTATTGAGGGAGTTCAAGCTACATGCCCCTAGGGTTTTATGTCCTAAAGGCATCTACAATAAGGGAAAAGATTGCAGACATCAGAATTCAAGTGTGTTCCCTGAATGACCCACCTCAGATCACATGTACAGCCCCAGATCAGCCAACCTGGCAAGGATATGGGGTCGTATGATTGGCATTACATGGTCATTGTCCATGACCCAGAGGACATACATGATTCTCAGTTTCCTCCAGAACTACATGACTGAAGCTGGGGAGAGGCAGCCCCAAGGATAGCGACTTGGGGATGGTCTAGGCCATGGAAGAGTTTGTGATGACCCACCAACTCCACCACCTCCTCATTCAGAGGAATTCTAAGGGTTAATGATATAGACTGTTTTCATCCCATCTTAGATGAACTTATCACTGGGCTTCTCCTCCAGGGGAGTTTCGGTGAGGTACTTCATGCAGAGCTGGTTCCCTTTTGTGACCACATCCCAGTCACCAGCTCTCTGCCACATATTCCTGCTCTGTCCTTTCCAGTCCTACTAGTTAAGTGGTGGCCCCAGTGGATCCCTGAGCCACCCCCCTCCTCCAGGGCCCAGAATGCCCCTTACTTGGCTTCCAATGCTGCTGGGGAGAATGCAACGCTTGTATCAGGGGTCCCAGGGTACACAGAGCCTTCAGCCTTTCTCAGCTTCCTCCAGGGGTGGAGATACAAACTCTTTGCTTGGAGCTTCCATGGTTAGGCAATTTTGCAGGGAAGCATCCTTCCACCTGGAGGCCCTCAGTCAATGCCTCAGCTGAGACAGGAGGGGTCAGAGGTTGATTTCCTTTCAGATTGACTGGTTTGATCCTCATGTTGTATAAGGGACTCTCAAGAATCTTCTCAAGCACCACAATTCAGAAGCTCACTTCTTTGGTATTCACCCTGTCTTATGGTCCAGATCTCACATCTGTACCTGATTACTGGAAAAACCATAGATTTGACACTACAGACCTGTAGGAAAGTGAGTCTCTGTTTTTTAATACACTGTCTAGGTTTTTCATAGCCTTTCTTCCTTCAAAGGAGCAAGTGTATTTAAATTTTGTGGCTGCAGTCAAAGTCCATAGTTATTTTGGGGCCCAAGAAAATAAAATCTGTCACCGTTTCCACTTTTCCCTCATCTATGTGCCATGAAGTGGTGGGACTGGATGCCATGAACGGTGAGTATCTTTCAGTGAATATTTGTTTTTTTTTTTTTCATTTATTTTTATTAGTTGGAGGCTAATTACTTTACAACATTGTAGTCGGTTTTGTCATACATTGACATGAATCAGTCATGGATTTACATGTATTCCCCATCTTGATCCCCCCTCCCACCTCCCTCTCTACCTGATTCCTCTGAGTCTTCCCAGTGCAACAGGCCTGAGCAGTTGTCTCATGCATCCAACCTGGGCTGGTGATCTGTTTCACTATAGACAATACACAGGTTTCAATGCTGTTCTCTTGAAACATCACACCCTCGCCTTCTCCCACAGAGTCCA